CACCCATCCAACAACAATCCCAGTCAGCACCAGTGGGAATATGGCCCCAGTGCAATCCCAACGCACGCGCACGCACACACACACACACACACACACATACATACATATCCCACAGCTCTTTTCTTCAAGCCGCTAATACAGAGGTTTTGGTAATAGCCACGCTGATGGTGTGATGGCTAATTTCACCTTCATACACTTTATGTGTGTGCAAGTGTAATAATCACCTTGAGCCGTGCAGGCGATGGATTCCCCCAGAGATCAGCTAGCCTTGATTTTACATCACAACGCGCGCACGCACACGCACACAGCCGATATTTACATATAAAATACTTTAGCAATGGAAGAACTGCATCACCCTCACACATGATTCAAGGTTAACAAAACAATAATGAAAAGGTGTGTGAATTTGATTATTTTTTAAACGTCATAATGATTTAAAGTCAATACCACCTAATGACCATTCACCCCATTCTGTGTATGATTTTGATTGCAAAATCATATATAGGATTCTATCGGCATATAGTACCCTAATTGTTAGCAAGGCTCTCACCCCAGAGCGAACACACAATAACGTGAGCCGCTGACATCAGCAGCTAATGCATCCAACAGACACATCATTGCCTGGTCTTGCATCATCAGGTTTTAAAACATTGTGCATTTTGCAGAGCCTCACAGCTCATATCCCTATAACACAGCCATGAACTGTAGTCTACTGGATTGTGTTGTCGGCCATGATGCACCATTGACAGTAACTTTCACCAAATAACTCTTTACTTTACTAGGGCAGTATTTAATTAAATTGCAGTCAGAAACAGCCTCTGCGTCCATTAATCCATCTGGCTCATGTATCATTCCCTCTCAGTCTCCACCTTGACAAAGAGAGAAACTGCTAACTAGCTCCCTTGTTACCCTGACAATCGGTATTTCAACCAATAAACCGTGTCTAATTGCATAGCCTGGAAACATCTTTCCGCAATTACATTGTTGGGCTGAAATAGCTCATTACATAGAAACCAAAAGGGGATATAAATGCAGACAAATCCTAACAAAGTACACTACAGTAAAGTTCACAGCCTGTAGTTTGCTCTATTAACTGGTGAAGATGAACAGCATTGACAGTAAAAAGCTACAATGCACACTGCTGCATCCATAAAACATGTCATTACTAATTGAAATATGTTCTAAATGAGTATGAATCTAAATCCAGGCTACAAATTGCCAGATAAGCCTTTGTTTCCGACATTGGCCACTTTCCATGAGGTGAACTTAAAACATGCATGGGTTGTCACTGAGGACAGCAAACGGGAATACAAATCAACAGAAACGCTCGAGGCTCTGCGAGACTGTATTTAGGCATATCAGTGCTTGCAGCTAAATGCTAATATAACACATGCTCACTATGACAACATTAAAATACTGATGTTTAGCAGGTATAATGTTTACATCTTTGCCATCTTAGTTTGGTATGTTAGCATTAGCTACATTTGAAAATAATGTTTGTTTTAAGGGTATTTGGTCATAAACCAAAGTAATGGACGAATTGACATTTTGAGCAGATGGTGGCACTAGATTGGAATTTAAGGGATCACAATTCATTGTCAGGTAGATGTTGAGATATATCACTGGATACGTGTAAACTTTGACCTGTTGGTGGCACTAGAGGAAAAGTCAGGGGACCACCAAAGTCTGTAGCATTCACCCTGAGACCCTGGAGGACTCTACAAACTTTAATGGAAATCCATCCAATAGCTGTTGAGATATTTCAAAGTGCCACTAGTGTGGCAAAATGTGTAATGCAGTGAATATCTGTCCTTTCAACAGGTATTAGTAGAACATGAGAGTGCATTTACATACAGTAAAACAACAATCAATTAACAATGTGTTGTGTCATGCAGCAGCCCTGGCTGTAAGGCGTTGTAATGACATCCACCACAAGAGTTGATTTTTTTTTTTTTTTTTTTTTTTTTTAAAGGTTTTATTGCAAAAATATAGAATTTGATAACACACTACAAAAACATCAACACAAACATAATACATGACAGTCTCAAAGACAAACCAATAGCACATCAATTGTATCATTACTGTGCTTTCAAAAGATTCACAAAACAGTTATTCAGATCTTTAAAACCTTATGTGTGGAAAACTAATAACATGATCGTTGTCTTTGACCTGGGGAAACCCTAATAACCGCATACCTGCTTCTGTATGTTGGTACTTGGATATCTTGTCATGTGCAGCTTTCAAATCGATGTCCTAATAAATGTACCCATTTTTCACTTCCTGAGAAGTTAACTATACAGCTGTGAAGTGGGTGGGGCCACTGGTTAAATAAGTATTTTTCTACAAATCTGCATTTGAAAGTTTACTTTTAGCACATATCTCAATGTTACTCAACACAAACTCAGGGCTCTTTTTGTGCCGTTTGTCCATGGCTGTTGTCATGACACATATGTCATACTGTCTACGTGTTGGAAACGCTCATACAGCCTGTCAAAAACAGTATATTGTCCAAGGAAAACCTGAGGACTGTTATTACTAAAACTGTGGCCCAGATATAACCCCACCCACTTCTCTGCTTTTTGTTTTTGTGGTTATCAAAGACACCAACATTATGTTTTTCATAATTAGAAAATGTCTTGAAACCAGTCAGATATCAGGTGAAAGCTTTTATGGTTGTATGCAAATATATTATTTTTGCTATTAACATCAGGTATTGCTTTTCTACATTTGCTAGAATTCAGTTTAATGAGTACAGATGCAAGAACTTCTTCTGGAAATGTATGTGTATATTGATTGAAACTAGATTACCCTCTTCTGAAAGTCAATTTCAAACAACAAGGTTGTTTACTCAGATGTTAAATCAAACATGTTACTTAATGCAATTTGACAAGTTAGAAACGTGGCTCCTGCGTTAACACTTCACCGCATGGTGGATGGAGTTCCAGCCGACAGTCATTGTAGAGTAACAACACATCAATACATCTCTACAAGTCTCTGCTGGTTTGCTGTGCTTCGCTTCTTCCTGCTAAATGAGAATTGCTTAACAAGAGACGGCGAGGGTAAAATCATGCCATTGCAAAACTGCTGAGAATAAATCATTTGAATTAATGAAGGTGTTTTGCACTTAGCAGTGGTAATGCTATAATGCCACAAACACTGAGACAAAATGTCTGGCTGAAGTTTGTTGACATCAAGGGCTCGTGCTATTGACGTTTGCACGAAGTCATATCATCCGCTCACCGTCAGATCTCTTCCGTTCTGAAGGTGCATCGTTGTGCCGTACACAATGTGGTGCTCTACATCAATGATGCTTTAGTTTTTAATATATATATATATAACTTTGATTTGCTTTTAAAAATATTACCAATGCCTTGTGCTTAACTGTCAAATGTTACACTATGGGAAGCATTGAGAATATGAAGTGATATACTCAGCATAAGGGAACTCAGTAATCATAGTAATTGTATAGTAAATCAATAAGAGCTACTAAAGTCAGTCACCTATAGACATCTTTAGTCAAACAAAAAGGGCACAAGATTTATCATAAAGTGCAAATTAAATTAGTTCCAACATACACATTGTCTGACATTCTTATTGCCTGAAGATATTGTTGGCAAAAAGTAAATACATAGAAAGTTGGGGCACAATTGGGGCGTAGCATTTTGGCAGGGGAGGAAAAAATATGGTGCTCGAAAGATGAGAGGCACTTATAAGGGTGTACTATTCACCAATTGTTCATGGCCCAGGCATAGGTTTTAAGTTGAAAAGGGTGGTTGTAAAAAGCCAATACCATGAAATTTGGGTGGGATCAAAACACTGAAACGTCATTAGATGCTGTGGTATTCCCATGACTGAGGAGACCACTCAGCACATTTACTTCCACTGTACATGCCTTATATTGTCAAATATAAAAGGTGCACCATATTATTGATGCATTCCCCCCCGCAACACTAAAGATCTGCATAGCCACAATCGTCTACTTACAGTACAGATGTTTTACCGTTAAAAAGTTGGACGCACTTTTGAAGACAAGATGAAGACCTGCTTGAATAAAAAAAAAAAAAAATGACACTGATTTAAAAAGAAGGTATAAAAACCAAAGATCTAACGTTGCAGAATGGCTCTTGTTCATATCGTATCTAATATTAATGCACAAACAGGAGCCAAACCTCCAAAATGGATATACCGTATGTAGACTAAAGAGACTATGCAGATGTTTATCTTTCAAGCTAACTTTCACTCTGTTAAAACATTTCGACTTTTAAAAACACATACCCAGATAGAATAACAATTCAAATTACTCACATTCTTTCATGGAACCAGTCAAGAAACATAATCTTGACCAGCAGGTGGAAAAAGTTCAAAAGCCACAAGTGAGTTGACCATTGAGGCCTTTTTCTCTGACTCCTCTGGAAGTCAGCGGAAGGTTTGAGTTTTAAAAAGTGAAACATGTCTTCTAAAAAAGTGAAATACCCCTTTAAAACCTTACATTCTTCTTGTGTGCTTTTCTATACTTTTCATACAGTCCAACGATACCACTTCTTATAAAACTAGCTTTACAATCTCATTTCGTTTTGACTGTTAAGCCACAGCATCTGCACTGCACTGTGTATAACCAAGAAAATATTAGCATGTCATCTGCAAAGAGGATGAATATATATATATATACACACTGAACTCAGTTCCTGCTTAGGTGAACACAATGGTGAAACGTGTCAAGTTTAAGCAATAAAGCACCGAGTAGCAACGTATAATATATCAGACCAAAGAGAAGTAAAGCAAGGGCTTGATCATTGACATCATTGTATACATTTAAACCATACCAGAAGTTCAGATACCAATCCCTGTGCACACACTCCTCTGGCTTTTAGAGACAACAGAGTAATTATCGCGGTCTCATTTAGGGCCGCTGAAAATATTTCTCGGTCTTGTACCAAAACTTGAAGAGGAAATACAATCACCAACAACATAACATGACTATCTGATAATTCTGCATACCCTTTGGGGCACCCTTATATGGGGACAGATGTGCTGGTTGCCCCCACCAGACAGTGGCCCAGGTCTAAGTAGCAGGAATGCTGATTTAGAATATCTGTCACAAATGTAATAATGTGCACTACTCTGAGATGCTTGATCAATACCAACTTGTCCACATAATGGTAGACAGAAGAACAATGCTCCCTGCTTTAAATATATTATACATTATATACATGAAAGACATGTAGGCAGAGCTGCTCAGTAGTCCAATAGAGAGTATTATGATGAAACAAACCGTCTACATCATTTTTACAAGTATAAATAAATAGATGATTATCAAGTTGATCAATATTGCCTCCTTATTTTCAGCAGTCCCGTTAGTGAGGTTTATTGTGGTGTAGCAGACATGTGGTGGAGAGAGACTCTATCGGCATGGTGAACTGAATAAATTGTTGAGGGTTTTCCGCGGTACCTGAAGGTTGTTGGTTTCTAAGTGAAGGCTCCATGAAAAACTGAGTGCACTCTTGAGTGAAGGCTGCATTGGAATCCTAGAAGAGATTCCATTAGAATCTGAGTAAAGGTCCCATTAGAATATCAGTAAACAGTCCCACTGGAATCTTACTGCCGGTTCCATTATCACATGAGCAAATGTTCCATCAGGATCAACATTTCCATGAAATTAAATTACTGTTGGATTGAATGTTCCAGCTGAATCCTACCGGAAGTGCCTTTGAACATGTGGCATTTCCATTAGAACCCTGTGCGACTGTTCCATTTTGAATGTCCGACGTAAAGCCTGCATGTGAAGGTTCATCAGAATCTGGGATACCAAGTATCCATTGGTGTCTCAGCACAGGTTCCAGTAGAATCTCAGGAAACAGTTTTTCTAGACTCTGAGTGAAGCTGTGCGGACCTACACGAAGGTTGCCCGGCATCTGAGTGAACGTTCCCACTAAAACATGCGTGAAGTATCCAGTTATATGAAGCTAAATTTGATTGCTGAATGAGTTCTGTCTCGAGATTCCTACAGATTTTTCAGTGCAAAGATGACGGATAGCCAGCTGAATATCTTTTACAATATACTGCTTCATTCAGAAGATGGAATTAGGGACCAGATTGATCACAATCTAATCCTGTTTGACAGTATTTTCATATCAAACTAAATAGAATGACTTGGCAACCAAGTGTTGTGATTCGTGTAGTTTTATACATTCAGCCAGAAGAGCAGTTATAGGGTTCAATAAGACCCAAACTCATCTGGAAGAAGCCAGACCCAGACGATTTCCTTGTTACTTTGTAGTATTTTAAACTTCAGCCTCTTTAAACGATGAAGGTTGCATTATGTAGTCTTGTCTTGCATCGCTTTGGAAGACAATGAAGTACATGATGCCGAATACGAGTCTGGACCTTTCATTAGTTTCATACAGCTGAATTAAAACTGCAGTCTTGTTGCATGAAGACGTGCCTGCGACAGGAAAACTAAATCTAAAGCACGTCAGCATGGCAAAGCAAAGACTGAAACTAATAAACATGTCCATTATTACTTCCCCCCCCCGCCTGAGAATGGTGTTCAGTTCAATGACTCGTGATGGAACTGTACTTCCAGAGAAAATTGCCACAGAAACTGTTCAGATCCACCGGGTTCAGATCACCTGAGACGGGCTGAAAAAGTTACATTTTTAGCGCGCTGCGTGAAACCCCATGTATTTGTGACACAGCCAAAACAATGCTGGCTGCTCTCAGAGCCAGATCTGTGGTCTGTGTGTCACGTTTGATCTGAAAGAATCCAAACAGTGCACAGAGATATCACAATCTGCAAGATTCACACAATTGGAATAATTAGAATGAAAACGCTTCACTTCAGTTCAGTTTCGCTCACCATCATCTTTCCTTCACGTAGCAACACTCAGCTCAGTTCAGTTTGGTTTTAGTGCTGCAATGTCAAAAAAAATCCCCAACGACACCAAAAGCAAACTCCACACACAAGAACCACAAAAATGTGGACCCTCCAGTTTAGATCCATATGCAGTGGGCTTCTTTGTCCTTAGAAAGTGCTAAGCCGCTCTAGGTCCAATAGCAAGTCTTTTCGTCAAATACTAGGTCCATATAGTGTGTGTGTGTGTGTGTGCATATGTGTGCATTTGCGTGTGTGTGTGTGCATGCCTGTACATATCCATCAGATGTTTACAGTAGAGTTGGTGTTGTTCATATGGACTCTCATCTCTTGAATACTAGTGATGATTTTTTTTTGATGTCCAGCAAGGCTCACTCCTACTCTTCGCAAATCCCTGAAAAACAGCACAGACACAACGGCCACATATTATCAAGCAGTCTGCGAACAAATAAAGAAATGATGCAAGTGATAAAAAAAAACACACAAAAAACACTACTTAACTTCATTATTATATGTATTAAACTTCATTATACTGATATGGTAGTTTCTGTATGGTCCCTGAGTTATGCATTCATAAGTCATACTGATATTCTGTAGCCATATCTATCTTTACAGACCAGAGGTCTTCAACAGGGGGTCCACGACCCCTAGGGGGTCCGCGGAGGTACTGCAGGGGTTCCGCGAAATTTTTGGATGATTAGACAATTTTTGTTTTTTTCCCCAAACATGAATCTGTCCAATAATTTAATAGTTCAGTATTGTATGAAAGATAACAGGTATGTTTATGCATGGTAGTGGCACTAATAGGCCATCACTCATTTTCATTTCCACATTTATGTTTAAAATGAAAACATCAATTTGAATAGCTTGTGTGCATGATTATCATGCAATTGACAGACAATGTTAATGTTGGCATTGGTATCAGTTGACACGGTATGTTTATAAATGGCAGTGGCACGGCCACCCTACTCACTGTACCTTGCACATGTTTAAAATAAAAACATGAATATGAACCTGTGTATTATTTGAATAGTTTAGGATTGAATGCACAACAAAGAGGTATGTTTATACATGGTACTAGGCCCAGTTTAATATAAAACACAATTTTATACAATATATGTAGTCGGGGGACCTTGCTCCATCTCTCTGTCAGTTTGGGGGTCCTTGGCCTGAAAAACGTTGAAGACCCCTGTTATAGACGCTCTCAGTTCTGTAACGGGTGCAGGCTTTTTAGAACTTTTTAGCAGGCTTGCAACCTAGATCCTGCATCCTCACTTAGTTTCGACCTTCACAACATTTCGTGGCAATGACAGTTGTCAGGGTAAAAAAAAAAATAGAAATTAAAAATGAGTTGTTTTGTATGTGCTGTATTGAGCATTTGATAGTTAGGGTTAGTTGTCATTGAAGTCTGGATCATGTCATTTTTTACTTTAAAGAGTTTTTGTAAAGTCCCTATATAAACTGATGACAATTAGGGCTAGTATATATTTATATATTTGTTTATACAATTTTGCATAAATCAAAAAAAAAAAAATGGCTAGACATTCTGGTACTCTTTTATGTCTGCGAGAGTGTGGAAGTGACCTTACTCTGATGTCATCTGAGTCACCGTCTCCAGCGAAGAGTAACCTCCTTCCATGAAGAGCTCAGTGTAACGACCCATCTTGATGGAGTCGAGCCATTCCCCTACCGTCTGGCTCAGAGTGCTGCAGTTCCCTTCTACACTGGCATGCTCCACTAACAGGTTGGAAACCCTGGTGCACATGAGGATGAAGATACAGTAAAAGAAAAAGAGTAAGACAGTAATCAAATGACAACACAAAAGTATAATAAATATTAAGGAGTGGGATTCACTGTGAAGCCGAAGGCTCAGCTCAAAACTCATGACAGTCACCAGCGAGGCTTCGTTATGCTATTTATGCATCATCACGCAAAGCTGAAAATTGCTGTCCACTCAAAATGCCTTCTCATTCAGCTCACTCTCCATGCTTTCAAACAGACATGTTCATGCAAGCTAACCATATTCTCCACGCTCTAGCTAGAACAAGAGTGTCCCTTTAATCTGGCTAACTGTCATATGTTATTGCATGGGCTAATAGGTATGCCACTGATTTATTGACTGTCTTCCTGCAATGTGTTTGTAAGTGTGTCTGTGTGTCTGTGTGTGTGTGTATGAGACAGATTTCCCATCATTTCATTATATCCGCAAAGAAAATCAGGTAATGTGGGTGTCTGACTAAATGTCTGCTTCCCAGCACTGATAGCCGTTTCATGCCATTATACACTAATGCAATACATGCGCATAGTGGTGAAATACTAATTGAATATTCAAATGTTACGATAATCAAAAGATACCCCACTGAATACAATTCAGACTAATGTGCGGTTTTAGGAAAATGGAGCCACTTTCATTTATTTCCTCTCGTCTACTTTGCAGGCATGCAGCAGTTAGCTACCATGTCCGTCCTGATTTAATTATGCAGTGACACAAAACTTCAATAAAGACTCCATTTCTATTTCATCTGAATGGTGACGAGTCTATTAGCTTGCAGAGCTTAAGAAAGATTAGGTCAATTAAAACTAAATGCATTTTCATGATTAAATAACCAACGTATATCTCTTCCTGAAAAAGTAAACACAAAATGACATTTAGTAGCCTTACAAGCAGTAGGTGTGAAAATCTATTGTTGAAAAGAATTGAATCCATTCAAATTTTGCACGGAAAGGATATCTTATTCATATATCAGTGTAACAATTGGCCATCCACTGCTGTTGGCCTTCAGAATAAAAAAAGAAAAGAAGAAAACAACAGTAAAAAAAGACTCATTGTTTTGCGCTGTGAATTCATACCTGTGCGAGGAGTTGACCAGTCTTTTTAATGAGCTGGGATTGCGAATGAGTTTGTCTAGCAGACAGACAATCTCATCAAACTTGGGGCGGTTGCTGCGTTCTCGCTGCCAACAGTCCATCATGAGGTGGTATAGAGCCTCAGGGCAGTCCATAGGACCCGGCAACCTATAGCTCTCCTCTACTGCCTTTATTACCTGCAGGGTAATGGAGAATGGAGAATGGAGAAAGACAAATAGAGGTTAGAAAAAAAGTGAGATGAGTAAGAGAGTAACACCCAGTTTACAAAGGCTGTCCATCAGGTTTATGAGTCGCAGTGGCGACCAGCCATAGCAGTGAAACCTCCCATGTAAGTCTCAATCCTCAAATCCAAACAGGGACTTGGACTTTAAAGGTGCAAAATGTAATGTCCAGAGCATTAACAGAGCAGCAAAGAATTATTGTATAAGTTAAGATATGGTGGAGTAATGTCTACCTAAGTAGTGACTAAAGGTACTCTCCCACTGTGTGTGTGGTTATCCAAGCTTCTCTTTGCTTTGTTGACATAGCCGGGCCGGTCGCGCATGCCTTTTAGTGCACGTTGGCGTGCACCGCTGGTTAGCTGATGGCAGCCGCTCTGCACTGCTCTCATACGGCACTTGCGCTGTAGTTTGCACTGTTAGGGCTTTTAGCAACGTTAGCTGCAAGCCGGCGGCTCGGCAGTCACCAGGGTGAGAGCTGTTGAGAAGCGATAGAAATCCTCCAATCTTGTATATAGCATCTTTAGCTTGAATTTTCAATGTACAGCACTGACAGAAAAGCACTCCAGCCGTCAATGGTCAAAACAGGATCATCATCCCCCAAAAGATATTATATGGAAGGCTGGTCACCAGCTGACATATCCTGAGCAGTGAACAGTGAGATGGCATGAGCGGCAAAACAATTCCTCACACCGTTAGACCTGAATCTAAGCTATGCAGTACCTGAATCTTGATTCATATTAAAATATGCTGATCAAGCTTGTTCAAAAGACTCAGGCTTCAGAGAAGAGGTGACAGAATTTGGCCCACACAGTAAACGAGGAAGACCAAACAGCTGTCTATGTGTATTTTAATAGGGAGTAATGAGATAATATGACTATGCAACATGCACCACAAGACCACCATTTAATGAGACGGAAGAAAAAAAAAAAAAAGGTTTGAGAGAGAGGGCAAATGTGAGACATCTACTGCATGGACAAAGTCTGAAGAAGAAGACAAATTGTTTGACGCCTGAACATGTAATTACCTTTTCACAGCAGGACTGCGACAAACTTCAGCAGAAGTAATGTCACTTCCAATTTGAAATCTCCGGAGCAAATTCCTGAACCCAGATGTTTGCTCCAGGGATGCTCCTGCTCTCTCTCTGACCCTGCACTCAAACCTCCATGAAGTTAGCGAGCGAAAAACGAACCCCCCCCCCTGCGAGGATCAACAAAGCAGTGCATCATAAAAACATAATTTGTGTATTTGATACGTTGCACGGCCCACTTAATCATTTCCGCAACTAACAAGACACCTCACAGATTCACAGAAATGTTTCTTTTTTTTGTGGGGGGGGATTGAATTAGATGAATAATAAATAAACCCTGGCTCTCTCCGCTAGACCCTGCAGTGGAAAGCAGTGTGCAGTTTTCAGCCTAGTTCTGCCAGTGTAAGACACTGGAGGGAATTGATCTGCCTTTGCTTGAGTCAAACTCATACAAAACACAGACGTGATAGCACTCCAATAAACGTGCATGCAGGAAAGCGCACGCACACTCGCACCAAAGCGTGAGATAGGAGCGCGGCATCGAATCATTGCCGCTCGCCGAGAGGGGCGAGGAACTACACATGGCTGACTGGCAGGGAGGAAAAGATCCAAGGAGGGAACATGAGAGACCGAGGCGGGCGAAATAAAGAGCGGGCGGAACGAGAATTAAGGAAGAATACTGATGGAGTTCACATTTCGGAGAGACAAACGGGAGGACGAGAGAAAGCAGCGAGGAAGAGAGGGGTAGAAATGGGAAACAGAAGGAGAGAGCTTAGAGAAAGAGGAGTGCGAGAGCCTGCACTTTCTGGCGCAGATCAGAGAAAATCCAGCATAACGCTTTCAATTAAACATCAAACGTCTTCCCCTCTCCTCTCATCCTCCTCTCCTCTCCCCCCTCTCTAGACTTCTCTGAGACAGACAGCCTAATAACCAAAAGGAGGGAGGGAGGGGTCTGAAGCAGTGGATGAAGAGGTCACTGGAGGGCTGTGCGCGCATACGTATGTTGCCTGTGTGTGTGTGTGCGTCTGTGGGTGGGAAATTGTTGCGCATATGCGGTGTTCTGAGGCAACATTTGCACTCATCGGCATGCGACACTATGGCAGGTCTCCTCATTAAAATGACTTCTGGGCTGCACTATAATGTAGGTGCTGACCTCCCTTCCTCTTTTCCTCAGCCGCTTCTTCTCTCCGTCTCCTCTCTGATGCGCAGACACACACAGGTCACTTGGGTACTTGCTGAGTAGAGCTAACTGCGCTACCACAACAATTCATTTTCATTTGGCCAAATATGTCCAGAATTTGCTGCGTTTTGTTTACAAGTGTTCGAAAAACCTTTAGGCCAAATGTCAGATATATAGATAGCCTAAGTGAGTGTACAGTCTGCTGTTTTCCCTGCCATCTTTTTCTGCTTAGCTCTGCACCTCCATGTGTATTCACCTGTTTCACTCTTTTTTGCTTACGCACGCCTTTCGCTACATCACACAATGATTCTCTCTGTGTGCTTCCATTGAAGCTATTCATTCTCATTGTCCACACTTTGCAGAAATAGATTGGTAATAATAGGTTCCTGCACAGCCCTCCTTATTTCAACCTCCATTCAGCCTCCGCACAGGAAACGTGTGTTTCACCTTTTCGTCTTTTCCTACCTTTACATCTTCATCGCTGTCTTTATTATACACAAGTCCCAAGTTCACAAGCAAAAAGTATTTTGTGCTCTAAAACAGCAGAATGGGCATTTTCTAAAATGTATTATTGATAAATATGGAACTAATATCAATATACGTGTCATCAGAAATTGATCATGATCAGTCTTGAAGATATGAAGCAACCCCAAAGGTCGAGAAAGACTGTCCCAGTTTAGGTTCAAAGTTGGTTCTTGACCTTGGAACTTGCCATTGAGCAGCTGAAACAGCAGTTTTTCTCAACTGCTGCTTCCAATTTCCTTCAAGCAAAAGTCTGACATTTTGGGAAACGCTTATTTGCTTTCTGGCGGAGAGTTGGACGTGAAGATCGATACCACTCTCATAGCAGCCTGGTAAACACAAAGCTACAGCCAGGAGACAGGGGGGGGAAACAGCAAGCTCGGCTCTGTCTCATTTGTCAACTTCCAGACTTTGACTTGGCTCTGGGCAGTTGCCAGAAACAGTCCGGCACATAAACCCCCCTCCCCCCGCAAAACAGCAAATTGTCATTTAATTTCTATAGTTTCTCTGCCTGCACCGTCCAAAAGGTTGAAAACAAACCTTCCACTTGCTGATTAAACTGCAGGGTGACTAGTTTAAAACAAGACAAGTTCAAACTGACAAAACGCATGCAGCATTCGCACAAACATTTCCCAAGACGACGTCATGTCAAACTCACATCTTGATTGGACATCTCCCAGTATGGCCTCTCTCCGTACGACATAACTTCCCACATGACAATCCCGTAACTCCACACGTCGCTGGCTGAGGTGAACTTCCTGTACGCGATCGCCTCCGGAGCCGTCCAGCGAATCGGGATCTTCCCGCCCTGCGACAACATGCAAGAACATTCACCAGATTTAAGGATTCAAAAAGGAAACTAAGCTTCGAATTGTTACTTCAACTCATTGTGGCGCTTAACATAAACAAAACTTACATGTTTGCATCGACAACAGCTCAGTGCCACACTTGTTCAAATTACTTTTTTTTTGTGTATAAATACAGCTGCAGGCATTCAAAATTCCGAGGATGGAAACAAAGAACAGACCTTAATTGAGACACTTGTGCCGCATGTGGTCCAACTTACAATTACACTAATGAACACGATCATGATACCAAGTTTGATTTTCTTCAACAAATCCCCTGTCCTAACTGTTGGGGGGCCTTGACATGCCTTGACGTTCGTTTTTCCTCATCTTCATTATCGCGCTTTCATTGCAAAGATAGAAAAGTTCACAGGACGACTGCTGAGTTCCGGAGGAGAATGTGGTTTTCGGCTGATGAGTAGTGAAATTAGCTTGGTGCAGTATTGATGAACACAGCAGCGGGATGTCTCAAGGTCTGATTATT